ATCAGTCGGTGATTGGTTTTATCGCACTACGGTTTCCCGCGTGCCAAAGAGCGTCATTACTGTCTGCGTTCGACTATCGTGCGTATTTTACTGCTATCTCCGTATTGCTGCTAACACTTTAGATGTACTTTAGCTACTTATTCCTCGTTAAAACGTTTATGTAAGAATCGGAACCCACACTCGACATAAGTGTAGGGATCAAAAGATCAAAAAATAGATGAGATAAGCAAACTTCCTAAACTCAGCAATATTCACATCCAATCACTACATTGCCGCCAGATGTACCCGAATATCAGCGAAATTAAAGAGGTGATACCGTCGACCTCTCAAACAAAAGTATTTGGTAATACAAAAAAAAAACGGTAAATATACAGACAGCAGCAATTCCAGTGATACATAACCGCCACACAACTGCATAAAGGTTGCTAGGACGAGTCTTGGTATCTAGCATTACACATTCTTATCCTCGTAGTCCTTATACAACCTCCAAGTTATTCGTGCAAAAGATGGCTTTAGACCTGCTAACGCCCTTAGTAAAACCACATTACTTGCAAGTCGTCAATGGGTCACGAGAAGCACGTCCATGCTGGACTGCGAGATTGACAAATAAGAAAGTCCGCAGTTAAATAAACTAGATAATTGTTTAACTAGAGACAGACTTCCTTTTCGTCATCAAATGAAGAGAGAACTACGGTCAAATGCAGCTGGCGTTGTGAATCATCCCGTGAGAAGTGTAGAAACGGAAAGCCCCCCCCCCCGAGGTGCAAGCTTTTGGCAGGCCAAATATTAATAAAATAAAATATTTGCAGGAGGTGGGCTGCATTGTGATAATCTAAGTTTTTGCGCATACTTTTGCATCGAACATGTAATTCTGATGCACTATACGTATTTTTTTCTTAGGAAAGTTAATAATTTCCAAGTTTATGAGAAATGCAAATTATTTGCGATGATTGGATTGCATATTGGAAAACCCATCTATTTGGTAGAAGGTGAGAATGACAAAAAACGAAGGCTTCATCGAGATAACAAACAAGGGAAACACAACAGGAACAGATTTGTAAGTATTCAAGCATCTATTTTAGTTGAGTGAAGTAATTTATACTAGGACTGCGAAAATTAAACACACAGCTGCCCGTATACTTTTTTTAAAATTCAGGTAGCAGTTTACGTGACCTTGGTTCTTGATAACACATAGTGTCCACGCACTTCTCGTACTATATCGGTATAAGTGTTCTGCAGAAGATGTTTTAACCACTACAGGCTCAACCATATATATCGCATGCATAGATGTATGATACCCTATTGCCTACCTCCTTTTCTGACAACATTCAACTCCCAAATAAATAGATTCTCTTACTAATGTGTTTTTTTTATTGGCGTTGTCTTGTCAGCAGTGCCCAATTGCAAAATCCGCACAAAAATTCATTCGAATGCTTGGAGTCAGAGGCCAGTTTTACCGAGGC